TTCTTCTTTTTTTTTTTTTTAGAGGGAGGGAAAGTGGGAGCATTTCTTAATATTTTAAAAGCAAACAGACTTGAAATAATAGGATGTATAAAATATTATGCTTAACTTTTCAGTTTTCCACTGCTATTGAAGAATATAATTGTGCATTAACAGAGAAGAAATATGTCACTGGTGCTCAGCATCTGGAAGAGGTACTAAATGCTTTCCCCAAAGCATGAACAATAAGTGCTTTTCTTGTTTTCAGTAAATTTTGTATTTTTTATCATTATGCAAACATATTCTAATTGCCCTGAGTCCAGATTGAATGTTTAACAGTGATTTCATTTCATTACCAGGCACAGAAATGCTTGAAGTTATTAAAATCCAGAAAATGCTTTGATTTAAAAATATTGAAATCTCTCAGCATGGAGCTCACAATACAGAAACAGAACATACTTTATCACCTTGGAGAAGAGTGGCAGAAGCTGATTGTATGGAAGTTCCCACCATCAAAAGGTGCTGCTGACCTCAGGTGGACTGCTTTGCTTCATCTGCCTGAACCAGTGTAGTGTCTGAATATACTCTACAGTTTTGTATTGGTAGATGAGGGTTCATTCATAATCTTCCATGTCTGTATTGAGTGCTCATGTTAGCAAGATGCTTACTTAGGACCAGCTCATCTGAGTCCCTAAAGTGCCCTCACCTTGCTTCCCTTACATCCCTCTTAGCTGTCCCGTTCCCTGGAAATGTGAGAAAAGATGATAGGGTAGTTGGGGTCATGTGGTGAGAGTGTGCTAGAGGAGGTGGTAGCAATTTGCCACCACATTGTTTCCATTGCCTTGTAGGACGTGCTCGTTCCTGACAGCCCTGATCCCAGCAGTTTATCTTGGCTGGAGAGTGTAGAGGAGCTATCTAGCCATTCTCTCTCTTGCTTAGGAAAGAAGATGAATCAGTAGGCTTGTGGGTAGAGGAGGGGTTTTGTTCAATTTCTTTCCAGTCCTTGGGGAAAATAATGAGCTAGGGAGTGCTTTGCAAGGTGAAGAAATGGGATTACTTCTGCCCTGGCTTTGATTTATGCTACTTGGCTCTCAGCCTTTCTGCCTACCTCTGGGTATGAGCCCTCTTTGGTGTGTTGTTTGCCCTTAGAGTAAAACTTCAGAGGCTGTATTTAAAGGACATGCTATTGTACCTGGTGTATTTTCCAACATTGGATTTTGAAATTTAGTGTATTTCAGGAGAAACTGTCTCCCCCGTTCCCTTTCCTATGTCCACTTTGGCCTACAAATTCATTGTGTACTTATGTGTGTACATAGACACATGTGCATATGTGTATGTATATCAGTATTTGAAGGGAGTTATCCTGGAAATTTTAGATTCTGTTCTCAAGTAGAATATTAGTTAAGAGAAGAGGGCAGGTGTGTTGAATTATTTGTTATAACACACCCTACTTGTTAAACTTGTTTGGCAGAAAGAACATAGAAAGTAAGGTCTGTGAAACTAGGACCTCTTTTTTTTTTTTTTTTTGAAGCAGGGTCTCGCTGTGTCGCCCAGGCTGGCGTGCAGTAGCTTAAGCATAGTTCACTGCAGTCTCAAACTCCTGGGCTGAAGCGATCCTCCTGCCTCAGCCCCACCTACTTCTCCCACCCTGCCCCCAGTAGCTGTGACCACAGGTGCGTGCTACCATGCCTGATGAATTTTTAAATTTTTTGTTAGAAACAGGGTCTCACTACGTTGCCCAGGCTGGTCTTGAACTCCTGGGCTCAAGTGATCCTCCCACCTCGGCCTCCCAGTGTGCTGGGATTACAGACATGAGTCCCCTCACCTGACCTCAAAAAGTCATTTCCTTTTTTGAAGTGATGCCAAGGACATGTATGTCATAATTCATATTTGGTTGCATTAGGAGTATATTGTAATAGAACTGCATTGGAAATATCAGAGAATGAACTCTGAGGAATAGAAGTGGGAACATCTCATATTGGTGAGACAGCTGATGTTTTTCTTCCTTTTTCTTAGATACCAGCAGTTTGGAATCTTACCTACAAACTGAACTTCATTTATACACTGAACAATCACATAAAGAGGAGAAGACCCCTATGCCACCCATCAGTTCTGTCCTCTTGGCATTTTCTGTTCTTGGAGAACTACATAGCAAACTTAAATCATTTGGTGAGGCATGCTACTTTGTTTCATTTACACAAAATCTCCTAAGGCCCACTATTAAAGGGAAGACAGAAAAGATGATAAAATATTCTCTGGGGAGTATTAATATAGGGTCTGGCCTCTTAATTCATCAAAAGGAATTGTCATAAATATTATCCTTTTTATTAAGGGATTGGGTTTTTTTTTTAAAACTGTTCCTATTTTGTTTGGTTTTTGAATAATTTAAATAAAAATCTGTAGACAATCTGGGAAACTTCAGTGGTAAAACCTACACTGCATAATGGTTGGTGTGTAATGTCATGGTATATGTATTTCG